TCGTTCTCCCCAAGGTACCTCGGAGTCATGCCCGCCTACAGCGCTGCCGACGACGCGCTCACCACCAAGTTGGTGACTTTTTATGAGCACCTGAAGGACTCCTCTGTGCCTTCTCACCAAGCGACTGTCCTCTTGTTTGACCCTAGCAACGGGACTTTGAAAGCTGTAAGTTGCGTGTGTCCTTCTGCATTCTCTGCTCGTGCTACCAGCTCTGCTTCTTGGGAGCTGGAGCTGGTGTAAACTGGCCTGGGTTTACCAACATCTTCAATGTGTTTGTGACAAATCAAGATTTAGCCTAAAGCTGCCTATCTGTGGTTTGTGTTCAGCTGTACTCACTGTGCTCAGCTATGTATTGCTGCTTGTGATTTGAATCTGATGGCTCAGAGGGTACCTGGAAGAGAGAAATGATCAGGAAAAAGTTTATCTTGCACTTGAAAGCAAAAAAAAAGCCCCATCTTGCTGGATAAAGATGGATCTTGAACCTTCTTAAGTCTCAGCTTGAAAGAGATTTACAATTTACATTGCAGGGAAGCGTATTCATAATCTGATTACTTTTATTTTAGTCAAAGAATTTAAGATTTTTCTTTTTGAGAATAGTGATGATTTGCATTACACTTTAGTAATAATGATTTATTAAAGGACCAAAACTGGGCAAGAAAAATGATCTTGGGTTTTTAAGCCCCATCATCAATATGTATGTAGTAGCTAATACACATTGAGGCAGGAGTGTCCCATGGGTGATACACATTTAGGGAATTCACCCCTTTGTACAGAGCAAGGCAGTGCAGGCTGGGGAGCCACTGGCAGCTTTCACTGCTCCCTGGTGTCACTGGAGTGCAGAGTTGGAGTTAGATCCATCTATTCCCTGGATGAGTTGGGGGTGGCTCTTCTCTGACCACTTTCACTCCTTTTGTGCTGATGGAATGATGTGGAAGAACTGGAATAAACAGAGAATCTGCCCAGTTTAAATGTGACTTTGTATGATTTGTRGTTGCTCTGATAATAACTGCCAACTTTTACGTGTGTGTATCTTTTGTATCTGTAACATCACATCATTCCCAAATTGGATGAAAATGTTTGGTATTTGTTCATGTTTTCAGTGTTCACTTGAGTCTGTTTGCATTCTTTTAAAGGTCCTGGATGGCAGTGTSATTACAGCCAAACGAACAGCTGCAGTTTCTGCCATTGCTACCAAGGTGTGTCTTCTGCTCTCTCGAACAGGGCTTGGAGTTAGAAAATAACTTGAAGGAATGGTGGAGATGGATTTTCACCCACTACAGCTTTAAATTATTTTACGATAACGTGTGCTTTCAGGGAAAACTTAAACTCGCTGTTTTGAGTCAGTCATGACTTTAACACTGTATGTGATTGGAGAAGGAAGCTGAGCTATGTTTTTGTGGCTTCTTTTGCACACTCTTCTAGGAGTGTAATTTTCTTCTGTGTTTGTCTGAACACGGCTTTGGGTGATGCGATATACTGAATTTGATTTAAAAGATGCCTTCTGTTGTCTGTCAGGACAGGTGGGTTGCACTGGACATGTAAAAAGAGGGAAAAGGCACATTTCCATTTCTCTTAAGAYAGATGATGCCCAGTATGATGCACAGCAGGGTTTTAGCCTTCAGCTCAAAGGCTGGGGAATAAGAAGAGGGCCAGAACTGAAAATTCCTGTTGTTGGTCACCCCTCAGCTTTGCAGCAGAATGAAGGCTGATCTCAGCACTTTGTTGGGGCAATTTTCGTGCCAGGGTGACTCTATCCATGGCACTGCAGCTCCACTGGCATGAAATTGAGGGAAGGAGCTGTCCCCAAGAGCTCCTCCTGAGGCAAAGGAAGAAGGATTTACAATGAGCTCCTGGACAGGAGGTTACAGGACCTCATTCATTTTGGCCATTCTCTATTGGGTCAGTTCTGATGGTTTTTATGCAGTCCATGCTGGCCTCAAAGGAGCTTGGCTAATGAAGGTACTGCAAGATCTGATCCTTTGTTCTCTTCTGTTGTTTTGGGAAATTTTCAGGAGTGTTTGAGTTTAGCTCTTATTTGTCATCTTGTCCTCTTTATGGCATCTGCTTTCCAAAGACCCATGCTCTTGTGCAAAGARCCTTTGAAATCAGTGCTTCACAGGCTTTGAAAGGAACATTAAAACAAGTTCTTATTGCTGAAAAATGGTATCAATTAAGTTCTTTTTTTCATTTGTTCTAAGCAGAATAAACCTTGAGAGCCTAGACAATTCTAAAGGTTTTTAGACAGGAGTGAGTGGCCACAGCAAATGCATAAACAAGACACAAGGATGGGTTAGGGCTGGACTCCAGCAGCCCTGACTTCCCCTTGGCCAAGCACTGGTGAATCACAGGCAAGAGCTAAACCAGAAAACCAAAAGCATCTGTGGAACTGAATTTGATTATTTGTTCCTCAGAACCATCCCTATTTTCACAATGTCTGTTTTACAATGCAATGGCTCTTGCAATGCCAGGATATATTTGTGGTGTGATTAATGGTTTCAGTGAATTCAAAGAGGTGTTTAGTGTGGGCTACCAGGACCAGTTTAATTCTACAGCTGCTGCTCTCAGTGCTGMTGGTTTGTGGGATTCTGAGCCCTGCTTTCAGCCAGTGCAGAACATGAGCACTGTGGTTTTACATTTCATGTGGGTGTCTCAATATTGGAGTGTTCTGAGGCCACAAAACTTACTGTCTGTGCTGTTGCATCTTAAACAGGAATTTCAAATCACATAATTCAGCACTGGAATTAAGCCAAGATGTGCTTCAGTGCTACTGATGCTAGCTTTTGCCTTAAAAAACCCTAATATTTATRGTGATTATTGAATACTGGTTTGTATTTTTCTTGTTGTTTGAAAGGATACTAACAATACTGCTTTCTTTTGTAGCATTTTGATATATAYTTGCAATACCTGTCAATATTTGTCCTTACATATTCTCCTTTGGTTTTTGATTTCTGATACTGYTCAGCTGTTAATGCCACCTTTTGCAGAAGTGCTGTGCATTTTGGGAGCTGGTGTTCAAGCATACAGCCATTACGATATCTTCACGGAGCTGTTCACATTTAAAGAGGTAAGGATCACATCTTAMGAGGATACATTTATTTTTCTCTATYATGTTGSAGGATTCATAATRAACAAGTACAGGCAGTGGAGTTGTATCAGGTCAGGCTGGGATGGAGCTCCTAGAGCTGCCCTCACCATGCTGTGCCTGCACTGGCAGCTCAAAGGCTCTGATAACCCCCCAGAATTTTGGCTACTTTGGAGCAGTGYTCGAAACATCAAGGCTGTCTCTCCARCATTTGTTTCTGTTCTATCAAACTKCCTTTATCTTGACCCACAAATTGTTCCATCTAATTTTCCCTTCCCTTCTCCCTGTGYTGCTGGGGAGRGGAGTGATAAAACWGCTTTGTGGGTRTCCACCCATGGTCAATCCACCACAAAAGTTAAGGTTAGTCATATTTTGRTYCTGTTCYTACAGAACCCAAGAATACTTGGAGMAGCTCTAGGATTTCTTGCTCAAATGTTGGTATTTAAAAACAAAAAGGTTGGGATCAAACTTGTTTTCAGATAGCTTTTTGTCTGAGAAGATCCTGTTGTGTATGCCATACTTAGATAAGCTTTTTGTGACCTTCTCTTAAATGTATTTCTTGGAAATATTTGTATTTTATAGGAATAGCTCTACAAGGAGCTTTATTCTGGCATCACAGAACAGGAAAATGTAGCAGAACATTCACAAAATTTAGTCACTTACATGATAAGAACATTAAAGAGAAAAAACCCCAACCTTTAGGATACATTTATCTACTGAAAACTTGAACCGAGTGTTCTGTTTCAGCAAGGAGAAATTCTCCAAGTTTGTTTTGTGTTGTTTTCCCTCTCCTCACCCTGCAGGTCAGGATCTGGAACCGCACCAAGGAGAAGGCACTCCTTTTTGCCAGCTCTGTCAGTGGCCCTGTGCGGGTGTGCTCCTCGGCCCAGGAGGCAGTGACAGGGGCTGATGTGATTGTCACTGTCACCATGGCAACAGCTCCCATCCTCTTTGGGGCCTGGGTGAAGCCAGGTGCCCACATCAACGGTATGTTCTGTTTTGTCCCAATTTATTGTCACATTGCTCAGCATCACCATCTGTGCAAAGGCACTTCTCTGTGCTTCATGGATTGTTCTTTCCATTCKGACTTTTTAGTGAGGACCACTTTCCTCAGTCCTTTCTTCCTGGAGCCAGAATGTCCTCATATTCCAGCAGGGTTCTTTGCTAGAGCATGGGATTTGCTCTTTTCCCATGTGGTGCATCTTGTTTGCTCTCATGTTGTCACTATTCTCACCTTGGTCTCCATTTCAATAACCCACACAAATGTCTTCTTTCCTAAGTAGTTACTGGTCATCGTTACATTTCCCTGGTGTTGTCATCTTCCACCAATTTTGTAAGCTCCTCTATTTGTTTCTTTTGGGGCTGATCGCACCAATTTCCATTTTCACTTGAGTTATGAAGCTGCAATAACAGAGTTAAGAAATCATTAATTTAACCTCTAATTATAGTGAGGTTTTGGGGATGCTCTTTTTTTGTTGTCTGCCTTGTAATGATGTTGCCACGCTGTTGTTTGGAGTCTCTGGACATGCCCCTGTTTGTTTATTTTTATTAATTGTGGGCCTTGTTCAGATGACCTTGTGCACTTTCCAGTTGGAATGGTAATAAGACAAAAGCAGCTTCTCAAAGGGAACAATTTAAAGAAACGTCCCACATTCCAGCATCATCCTACTGATTTTTCAAACTCAATTTAGTCCTTTGTCATTGAAAGTTGTTGTGTCATGGCACGGAAGCCAAAAATACAACAAAATCAATTAAGGTCCACAGTCACTGAGGCGACATGGACACAAAGACCTCTCTCCTTTCCTTGCCTTTTTTTTACYCATCATTGAGGCATTTGTACTGTCTGAAGAGGCACTTGAGCAACAYAGAATTTATTATTCTGTGACAGTTGGACATGTAAAAAGATCTGAATATAGTATAACTGGATAGTCCTTTTAGTTTTTATTTGGTTTCTTGTTTGTTTTTCAAGCCCCTAATAAGTTGATAATGATCTTAGTGCTGTGTGTAAAAAGTTAAGCTCTGTGATTTGTTTTCTGTTTCTTTGTGTTAGTGATAAATAAAGATGTAAAATTCATTTGGTAGTGATCTGATGAGAACAAGGGTATAAGAGACAATGGACAAAGGGAGAGGGCTTCCTTTTGCCTCAGCTACTCAGACTCTTCTGACAAGGATATTTTAGTGATATATCAAATATTGAATGGGCTTTTGTTGTTCTATCAATCAATATTTCTCCAAGGCTAGCATTGCTTTTTGTATATTACATTTSCATTATAATGCCCATTGTTTCCTTCACATGTGTCTTTTGAACAAAATATGGTTTGAATTTGTTTTAAACACTGCTCCCAAGCTGATCAGCTCTGTTGCTTTAGCTGTGGGAGCCAGCAGACCAGACTGGAGAGAGCTGGATGATGAGCTGATGAGGAACTCTGTRCTGTTTGTGGATTCCAGAGACGCTGCTCGCACAGAATCAGGAGATGTGATTTTATCTGGGGTAAGGCTTTCTGAAATCATGGGCTTTGTGGCAACTGGCTTGCATTTGAAATGAGCTGGTATTGATCATGTCCTGCAATGAAACGTTTAGAGCATCAAATGTGGTTGTTAACACTTTGCAGGCACATGGTGAAAGATAAACTGGTTTCAAACTGGGATTTCTGTGTGTCTGACAAACCATGCATCCTCAGTATCTGCCATTACATGACATTATATTACAGCAGCATGTTTTCAGCATTGCCTTTTGATGGCAATGATGCATTGCTGTTGAAAGATCTACATTTCCTGCAGTGTTTGGCTATCTTAAACATTCATCAATTCTGCTTATTAAAACCTGTAACTTCCTTCCCATGAGATTTCTGTGTGATTGACACTGAAAGGGCCAGCCTGAAGAAAGGACCACACAAGGCAGACAGACAGACAATGATCTGCACAGATTTGCCAGCAGGGACTCTCTGAGGTTCAATGGAGTTTTCTTTTTCTCTTTTAATGTGTCTGCAGAACAAATATGATTTACGCTTTTGAGGTTTAACATGGGAGCTCAAGATACARTAATGTGTGTGGAATCCCATGTGTTTTGTTGGACAAGCTATCCACTGTAAAAAAAAAACTGACTGGCTGAGGAAAGTCTGCCAGCTGTTTTTCTTTGAAAACCATTCTGCTCCTCTGATTTCTGTCCAGTTTCTATATTATTTGTCTGCATGCTGATCTGCTTCACCATGGAAAGTAATCAGTTTTGGGATGCAGCATTGGAGGAGTTCTTTCTTTTGAAGTCACTCAGAAGAAAGGGGATTTTTTCTCMTAATGTATGCATGGGTACTATGTTGTTGCACAAATATGTTTGTTTTTTTTTTCCCAGGCGGAGATTTTTGCTGAGCTGGGGGAGGTATTGAAGGGTACCAAACCAGCCCTGCCTGAGAAAACAACAGTGTTTAAATCGTTGGGTAAGGACAGCCCGTGCTGTGTACAAGTCTGACAGAAAACAATGCCTTGTTCTTTCTGGGGTCCCCCRTGCGTGGGAAAGCTGCTGATCATCTCCAGAGCTGCTGTGGCAATGCACTGTCCACAAGAAAGTAGACTGTGATTTGCATTTYCCCTTTTTCTTTCCCTTTTTATTTATCTAGCAGGACTGATGTAATGAAAAGTGATAGGAAAGCAAGCAAACAATGGGAGTGCATTTTCCATTTCACAGTTGCTCAAGACATGACTGCAGCATTTCTGAATGGGGCTGCAGCCCTGCTGTTCCARCCCTGGGCTCTGTCTGACCTGAGACAATGTGACAGTGTCCCCTGGGGCTGGCCTTTGGGACAGGGTGGCACTGGGCATCAATTGCCATGCTCTGAGCTCCGTGACATCCAAAAAGGGCCCAGTTGGGATGTGAACACTGCAAATCAGATCCCTACTGTTCCATTAACTTCTGACAGCACTGCACCATGGCTGGGGGCTTTGAATGGAACCGGGGAGGTGTTCGGGATGGGAAATCCCTCCTGTTCCTGCCCAACTAGATAATCTCCCGAGTCTTCCTGTTCCCTTCTGAAGCTAAATGATTTGCACAGCTGAAGAACTGTTTGAAGGTAACTTTAACTCTTTTTCAGGGATGGCGGTTGAAGATACAGTAGCAGCAAAATTTGTTTATGATGCGTGGTCAGCTGGTAACTAAAGAGAGAAGTCTACAATGCCAATGAGGCCAAGAAAATCGTTTGCACTTAGCTTCCCTGAATCCTGTGTTAACAAGAAAGACACCAATTCTATCTGAATGTGGCCCTTCTAGAACAATCAAGAATGAAAAGTAAAATTTCAGCAATAGACTCATTCCTAAAGTTTTCTGATTTCAAGTATTAGATACTTGCAGTATTCTAATAAATGTCTTTCTCTTGTTACTGCAAGAATTAGATGTTTGCAGTGATACTAACAAGGGCATTTTTACATCTTTTGGTATCGTTCTGCAATCAATGCCTTTCCTCCCTGATTATTTACATAGCAGAAACCTGTGTGTAATTTCATGGTTTTTAGAGGGATAATTCATTCTGGTGTAAAACACATCAGTTTGGGAGTGGACTGTGCCATCACGTTTGCCTGKGATGTTRTTTCAGACA